GTGTTAGTGAACTCAAGCAAGTCTATAAAACAACGCCCCATTTTCGACATTGAACCATTAATTCAGCGTTTTATTGCAGGAAATGTCTGATATCAAGGCATGGTTTTTATAAGTCACAAGCCGCTGTGTTGGGGTTACTATCAATTATGCCTGGTAAACGTACCACCATCCCCCGTTCAGTACCATTCGATATTATAAAGGAATCGAGACATTATTGGGCGTTATTTTTTACGAGTTGTTTATTTCATTTCACTGCAAGTGGTAAGCAAACGTTTCAACTGCTGTTTTTCTTCTAAGAAAGGATGTGTGAATGCTTAATTGCCATATCGAAGGGAATATACGTAGAGACAATAACTAGACTATCTGCCATATAAACAGTCAGCCGCTTTGAAGAGATTTTTCCTGCATGAGGCCCATTTGTTGTTTGTCACGTTCGAACCGTCGATAAACTATTTCCTTTTACAATTTCTGAACATTCTTAAAAGAAAAAACAAAACAAAAGTATCATTCGTCAGGCAGGTCTCATGTCTTCATTTTAGTTCGCCCAATAGTGAACACTATGTTCAAATTGGTACCGATACATTGATTGCATTTGATTTTTTTCTTCCTCCATTTATTCATTATTGATTTTACTTGCGTCAGACTGCTAGAATTTTCGTGCTTTAGTCGGACCGTCAGTGTCACATATAATCTAAAGGCAAACAAATTTTCAGGCTATGTCACACTTAATTTCAATTATAACATCATCATAACAAAACCAAAACAAACTAATCCTCTTTTTGGAAATATTTTTAAGCAACGTTAGGAAAAGTGACACAAACATAATTCTGATTAAATTCTATTCCCTCAGACGAAATGCTTAAAATAAGGGAAGTCGAAAAAGGGACTTCGAAAAGGGGAAGTCGAAAGGGAAGTCTGTTTTTGTTGATTAACTAAACTTATTGGGACCATTACCGTTCAGAAGCGTTGGGTGGGACTGTATGTGAAGGCTTGAACATGGACATAAGATAATACTAACACATTTCTGCAACAACGGTAAGATAATGTCCACTCTCTGTCCATCCTCGTCTTTCGACTTTTTGCTGAAGAAAATCCCCAGCATTTCGCATTAATTTATTCCTGAATGTCAGGATATCAAGTTTCTTGTTCTAGCTACCAGTTTCCATCTCGATATTACCGGCGCACGGTGCAACGCCCACAAAGACCGCCTTCATTCATCAGCGGTAATGTCAGCCCATCCGCCCGTACCAGTGGCACGCAATCCCTGTCCTGGCACGCCGTAGAGCATCGCCCGGTGCATACACGTATGAAGTCGGCGTGATGGCAACTTTTAGGCCTGCCACTGCAACTCGATGGCCCGTAGACATGATCTGTATCACTGGCCCGGAAATGGCGACAAATGGACGACAAACGAGCGACCGATGAAGATAATCTGCAGAATATGGCATCGCTTGAAGCAATCACTGACAACCTGAAGAATTCAAGCAGAAATCCGTCTCGGCGTTTCTTTACTGTGCCCTTTTAGTGTGCTAATTCTGTTTCAATTTGCATGTAGAACGATAAAACAAACATTTCACAATAGTTAGACGCACACTGCTCGTCAAATGTCATATTTTTTAAACAATAAGCCTTAAGATCAGTTTCAGTTTTATTTCACCACAACCCTAACTCTATACCGAGGTAAAGTGCACTGATTTGCAAATTGTGCTATGAAATCTGACATTTTTACCCAAGCGTGGATTTTTGTACCTCAGCCTAGGGCCCAAGTTGCAGCACAGTCTGCCAAAGGAAGGTATGAATTTCAGAGCACAATTAATCCTACACACTCAGTGTGGGCAAATTCTGTTAGAAATTACCTTATACATGTATCAAGGATTATAAGGTGAATCATGTTGATCCACTACAGTTGTAGTGTTCAACAACTCTCTTCTCTTTCAACTTCCTATATAGCCAAAGGGCACAAACCAGGAAAGTGCAAACGACGTTCACGCAGAGACTGTCAGCCCATGTTCGTGTGTTTTATTGCTTATAATTTCATTATGTTGAAACCGTAACTATGTTTTCATTAGCAGTTATTTGGCCATATTGTAGAATATACGTGGCATTACTCAGGCAAACAGAGTAGACGGAACGTAACTTTGTTAACAATGCTGACTGAAATGTTCCACACATGGCCGTCTTAGGGCCCTAATCTCTCCCCACCGAAAACGTTTGCTTTGTGACAAGAAACCTTGTCCTTCTCAGAACCCCCTCACCATGGCAGCAGCGGCTTTTAATTGTTCTTACATACAACATCACAAAACTCTCTTTGAGTATTTTAAATGCTACCGTTGCCAAGAGCTAAGATGTTTGTAGGGGGCGTAAATCACAGTGGAGGAGGGGAGAATGTATACACCCAGTGCCCCTTACAAGTATTATTATTAGTCCAATTTCATGCTATTAATCAGGAACCTATTTGGGGAACTACGCAAGGTAAACGTGTGCCTAAGTAAGACATCTACAACGTAATGACGCCATCGTGCATGGAACTATCTCACAGAAGTTACAGTTTGTACGCGTGACTGTGTGCTATATGTACACTGTGGCATATGAAACTATTCGATCGAGTGGAATGGGCCATAGTATCATACCCCAAAGGTTTAAAAACTGTTCACCACAAGCAAAAGCACCCCCCATCGGTTGAAAAGAGCCATGTTGGTCGGGAGTGTTCATTTTGTTGGTAGCGACTGTGCTGCCTGCATTTTCTAGGCAATTTTCCAATACTCAACTTCGTCTCCGTCTCAGGCTTAGTTCCAAAAGCCAATCCCCGATTGTGGGCCTGAAGAAATGAATTACATTTGATAACTGTAACTGTTGGCTTTCTTGCGTCTTATTTGATGTTCTGTGGCACTTTTAGACTGATTACTGCGCTTACAGCTTCAAAGTCAGCTAGTATAAAAACAGTTAAAGCCTGAGACGGAGCCGAAGTTGAGTATTGGAAAACGGCCCTAGTCATTTGTGAACCAGCGAAGTTCAGAAGCCGCCATTGCTATGAAAATGGCGCCCTCTCTTCCTCCAGCTCGAGGCCCATAGGGGTGCACTAAACTAATCCAAGCTCCACTGAAAACTGTGTAAATTCAACAAGGTTTGGATCCCCATGGCAGGCAACTGAGTCTCTGAGGCCTCAAAAAAATATGAATATTCCAATTATCCGCCCAAAACAAACTCACCCAAAAAAGTGAATGTTCCCAAGTCTTCTCAGCAGCCATTTTTCAAATGACATCCCTCACCATACGGAGGCTCTTGTGACAAATTTTCAATGACGTTTTTGTCTACTTTGCCCCAAGATGGGTGCCCCTGATTCTACAGAGATGATCCCGGGCCATACTTATACAATCCGACAATTTCTTGGCCCACACAGACCCTCTTTTCGAAAGATTTTGTAGGGTGACTTTTTAAGCGCCTCGACCGGCGGGGATTTTTCCTTGAATTGGGACACTTCACCCACAGTACACCACAAAATGCCGTTAATGTCAGGCAGTAACAATAACACCCACAAAAAACGGGAATGTACATGAAACACGAACATTTTATATATAAATTGTGCATGCATATTGAGAAGTGATGTGTACCTACTCCAGAGCTGTAAAAAACAGCGCCAACTTCAGACTTGGAAACCAAACTGATTGGTGTCCATAATGTGTACAATACAGCATGCAGCTATTGTGTGCTAACTAGCCATGTAAATTGACGCGTAATCTACCATTTTGGTTCCAATAATTGAGACAGTCATGTCGCAACTCTCTCTAAAAACAGCTCTGACATCGGCCACAGTTGAACATTGAGAGAGTGTAGTGCCAGTCTCATATATTGGAAATAAAAAGATTGTTCATTATATGTACAGAATAGCGCGCAGCTGTTGTATACCTGCGGGCACATACACCTGCCACATCGTTTCCGTCAATGGTGAAACATAATTATGTGGCGCCACATAGCGCCACCACGATTCAGACACTGTGCAGTTGCCATCGGCAACCAACCCCTAGCGCTTTTGAAAATACCAGTCTCCAGACGATTTCAGGATTTTTCTCAGATCATCCGGATCAGTCGTTGGTTGACACAAAACCAGACATCATCGATAGTCGCACTCTTATACTTACGGCGATAAAACTCCAAGCATCACAAATGATCCTTTATTATAATAGGGAATTTACCAGTGGTGCACACCACCTTTAAACCAGCAAAGGCTGCATATGCCACAGCTGATGCCTGACACTGCCCTCAATCCAAGGGGGACACCAAGTAAGAACCACGAATTCTAGCGGGGAATAATTTTTTTGGTGGGACAAAAATGCAGGAATTTGTTTAGGCTTGAGGCCTTTCTGAGGGGTGAAGATAATTTTGGACGCTTTTTACTCGCACTGGGCAGGAGAGGACTTAAAGCAGTCTCGCCAAAATCGCAGAATATTTTTCCCTTCCTTCCTATTTTTTTTGGGGGGGGGGGTTGAATGTATGGGCCACTGGTCCCCCGTTGGCCTGCCCAAGGCCAAGTTGGCCAATGTCTTCATGCAATTTTAAGTCTCATTACATGGCGCCAAAACGCATCCTACATTACTGTCACACGTTCCTTGTAGCTGCGTTCCGTTTGCCCTTATGTCTGAACATACACCCATTCAACGCCTGACGTCAGAAACTCTATCCAAGGGACAATACCAGCAAATTTCCCCCATAAAGAGACCCGCACAAAAGAAAACAAGAGAGATATATTATTTTCAGCTGCCACAGTGCGATTAATATCTAATTTCTTCCCTCCCTAAAGACTGATTATTCGGATCGGGTATAACGCGCAGGTGGCAGGAAATAGCCGTCGTAGACCCCTGGACTTCCAAATTTGATTGAATTGCTGTCTGCTGTAGCCGCCACGTCTTCTTCGTTTTTCATCTTTGCATAATCGTGTTTCAACACAGGAAATGCTAACAATATCTGTGCTTTCCGGTAGTGAAGAAGAAGAACACGGACGTAAAACAGGGATGCTGTGTGTCATCCTGATCACTGTTATTATTTCATCAAAATAAATATTCACAATGTGTACATTAGATATCCAAATCAGTTTCACGAATAATATAATACAACAATGACGATACTTTAATATAACAGAAAGGTGACAATTTCAAAGAGTCGTATCTTGGTGAAAATCACATTACAGATCTGTTTAGTACAAAAATAAAGATCAGAGTTGTCCGATTTATGTAGGGAAATACATACACGTTTTTACAAAGATGCGGTTTTTAAAGTCCCACTGATATACGCGTATTCGAGAGAACTGAATTAATATTTTGGCCAAGGACATCTACAAACAAGATTGTAGCTGAAATCGCCTTACCAATTTGAAATTCTTCAATCATGAAAAATACCTCGCATATTCGTTGAATCTTTTTCGGCTTTAAACTATTACTATCCAATTACTCTAAGTCCTAATATAGGTGATACAGCATTGTTTGAAGGATCTGTCGCACGATACGATCTTTTAATTTTTAAAAAACAGTTATAATTTGATTGAGCTTATTTGCTTCAGCTGTAAAGTTAGTCTTGCAAGATTATGCTTACAACCGACAACCCTGTAACAATCTCAAATAAAGCAACGAGAAGTTTGGTGAAGCAATTTCAATCGATAATGTATGTACGAGTGTGACGTCACCAAGGTTAATCAATTCCCCCTTTGAGGTCATTTAATGAGTCTGTCCTCAGTTGGAACTGGCAAGGCTTTTGCATGTTGGTGTGAAGAAGTAACATGCATCGATTCAAATACGTCATTGTTTTGTTGTGGTTACTGCTGCTTTCACTTTTGCTATTGTTACGTTTCCCGTAATTCTCAAAATGGTGAGATTTGTGGCTTTTGTGGGGGAAGATAAACGGCAAAATAAACAGACAACCTGGTCAAAGTACCCTCGAAGCCTAGACAACGCTGTACATTTGCTTTGACCACGTTACAGAGTTCGGTAACCATACACCAACAGCCTTTATCGCAATCCTCGTTTTAAAATAGCGGGATAAGATGGTTGAAACTGTATAGTGTTTGAAAATACCATTGAATATATATATCACTCAACTAAAACACTACTGTGAATATTGCCCTATACGTGTTACATGTTCACGGTGCATGTATTTCAGACACAAGCTGTCAATCCAACCACGTGTATGCCCCAATAATATTTGAAAAAGAAAAGTCTTAACAATAGACTATATAAGGGGCAACATGTATTTTGCATTACCGATCAGTGGCGTGGGATATCACCACGCGAAAGTGCAGTGTCCATGGTTTTGACAATTATGACTCAATTTAAGTGGATCGTGTGGGTTCAAAGGGGAGCAAAAGAAAAGGTCTGCCTGATTCTCGCAGATTCTCGTAGCTTTACAAGATTTTAAACTGCAGTTTAGATCCGTTATAGTTTAAAAGACAGAAAACTTTAGGTCAATTCACATAAACATGGTTTTTAACAAAATTAGAAACTCTCCATATTGAAAATAAGATTTTTATCACTTTATGATCCTCATGGGCTCTGACACTTTCTATGGATACCAATTGTTAGGCCTACATCAAGGATGTACAACCGACTTCAACAAGAATATATAATGTCGGTAATACACGTTGCTTCGCTTACTTCTGCGTTGCATGACATTACGTTTCCCGTCATGTGACTCAAATAGTCCTACCGAAAGAGTTGCTTATAAAATGCTTAAAAACACTTTATTATGAAATCCAATTCATGTCGTGTACTTGCATCATATAAAGGGGCAGCTTTCAACAGAAGCAATCACCCTAACAACCGCCAGATAACCAATGACTCGAGCACAAGGTAACTTCACACTGCCGTAATAAACCTGACCTAATTCAATGCACAGATGCACATGTACAAACTTCTCAGAACTGCAGTGTTAAGGCACAATACAACATATCATCCAGAAACTTTACTTTTTGGCATGTTGCACCTCTATTGACAGGATTCTACATAACACATATTCACGCGTATACCATCAACACCGTATGATTTCGTAATAACACCCATACCGGTACCGTATTATATTGTGTATACACAAGACAGTTGCACAGGACCTATGTACATGTACATTAGACACACCAGCGTGTGATAATGCGTTAACCTGCCTGCATATATCGTGGTCATTCAGCCGAATGATATCGAATGTACCGGAGAGGGCCGGTGAACACAGTAAATCTATCCCCCAGTAAAACTGTCCCTGGGGACAGAATTACCCAGGTAAAAGTGCCCCCCAGCCCAGTAAACCATTCCCCCTCCAGGTTATTCTGTCCCCTCCTGGTAATTTCCCCCTCGTTGTGCCACGTAGAAGTTATTATTTTCATATCAGTTTGATGAATTCAATCCACATCAAATACACGTACATTTTTAAGACCTTCACAAGGTTGTCAAAAGGGGGGGATGATATGTGAAATCAATCGAGATATGTTTTCAGCAAGAAATAGGAAAAGGCAGCAATCCATATTCTGCAGACTCCTTGCATGCGTAGTAAATATTCTCAGTCTGTAGGCACACCGCGGGGTGATTATTATGACTGACTTGTAAAGGAAGGTAAACTCATGCATCATGTCAGTTCACTGCACCGCACGTTGCGCGAGAACCATGGCGAAGTTCCGGATATAGCGTCCAAACGCTTCAAGGACAGTAAATTCAGACAATACGCGCAATGGATACCAGTACATCCAGAATAGCCCTCCTTATTCAATCGCCATGTTTTGACGTAACAAGCATCCCAGAAACAGCACTGGTGTCTGTCAAAACGCTGCGCGAAAACAATTGAAAGAAAGTGATACACAGTCTGAGGAGGCACATTTCTCATAGGGGACAAATTTACCTGGAGGGGGATAGATTTACCTAGGTAAATGTGTCCCCTGGACACCTCTACCGGGTGCAATCCGGTAAAAGTGTCCGGGGGACAGTTTTACCTTTTACACCGGTCGTCCAAGGAGCGGAAGTATCGCATTCACTAGCGGACTCGGAGGTATCCTCCCTTGTGACACAAAAAGTGTTCAACTCTTTACACATTTTTGGATCAAAGCTATATGACACGTTTCATTCTTTTTAGTATTTTACTGAGAGGTTGCAGGCTTCCATTTCAAATCAGCGTGTGAAAAATGTACTCTAGAAATCGACACCCGGCGCCTAAATCGGTAGTGTTGGCAAGTATACGAAACTGTGAAACGTGAACAAAAAAAGTGGCTTATCTTTTACTGTGTAGGACTAGATCGTCCCCGGACAAAACTCTTTTTAGTCTTCTCCTGTCCTCCATCTTTTCAATTCGTAATATTTTCCGCAGGAATACACATTCTCAGCCGATTGCCTATCCATGCATTATCTTTATTTGGATGTAATACTTACAAGGACGAATACTTACAAGGTCGTTCTTCGTAACAATTTCGCTTACAATATTCATCAATATGGCTGCTTGGGAGATCGACGCATACAGTCATGATTATAGCTTCAGCCCTTATCAATGCTCTCGCTTGCTCATACAATCTTAAGATAAGTAGAATTTCGATTCCAGGTTAAAGGAATCGGTTTTCAGATTTAAACCAGGTAAGAATCCATTCCCTTTCCATACATTCCAACCGACGTCACGCGCTTAATGGATCATTCAAGGCACCTCATCTCCTAATTCGTCAGTGTAGGTTGAAATGCAATTTTTTCTCAAACTACAATCAATATTTGCAACAACCTCAAGTTTAACTGGTAATGTGTGCCTCCCATATTGAGTTTCATCTGGTAATGATATTCCACACCGTCATTTTTCCCTTCAGAAATATAGAAAAATTGTAGTTGCAATTTAGAAAATAATACAAAATAAAACTAGTACGCGTGCAGTCGGCCTAGAACAATACGAAAATATGTTCCCCATTACACTTGGACACTGGTCTTGTATTATGCGTATAAAGTGATTAACATGACACACCGTGAATGAAACGTATTGCATGTCTTCGACCTTAGAGAGAGAATCAATGGCGTCACCCCATGCATGCTGTTAAGAAACTACTGTTAAGAAAGTTCGATTGATTTTCACCTCAGTCTGATCGAATGTCAGACCACTTGGTTTGATTAAACGTCCAGCTGTCGAAATTGGATGAAAAGAGCTGTATAAAAATAGGTCTAAATTAGTGGAAATATACCTAACACATAATTTGTAAACATCTTCATAGGCCTAGATTGTTACAGTCACTACTTTGAACTTTTTATTTACAATACGATAGGCCCTTTGTTGTATTGCAAATACTCACTCCATGCAAAACCTCTCTCATATTCGGAGATTTCTTTCATTTGGCTTCATGGACTTCGAATGTTGTGGTCTCGATAGTTAACATTAAAATACTTACATTCCTCCTTCAGTGGTAAAAGCAAGTTAGTTGATATCAAACCTATCCTCGTTGCTTCCACTCAACTTCGAACGTAAACAAAAAAAATATACAAACCAGAGACTTCCAAGCATGGTCAGAATAGCAAGCCATGTTTGGCTGTCTAAATGATGACGTCAATGGAGATGTCAAAAATAAACACAGTTGCACAGTTTCCTCAGCTCAGTTAAAAGTTAATCACAAAGCACGGCATTTCCCCGCAAGATTTTGTGGCTGACGATTAGCTGTTTAATGAGCTGAGTAGAACTTGAGGCCACAGAGAATGAGCTTGTTTCACCTCTCATCTAAACAAATAATCCGCTTCAGCGTAACTAGTTCATAGTACAGAAGTAGACAAAACACAACATCGTGTTACTTGCAATCCCACGTTTTATAGGCAGGAAACGAACATCCACTTACCCCGTGAATCTATTTTCAAGTTTAAAAAAACATTCCAGAATGTTTCCATAATACTATGAAATCAGCACTGCATGCAAAACTAAATGAAAGGTCATGGGTTCACTTCCCGTTGATGCAAGTCGGTGGAGTTTTTATGTGTGCTTGTCAAGTACTGATTAGTCAGTGTTGGTGTATGTTAAATGTGTAGAGGGGAAACTCTTGCTTACATTGTGTAAGTGGCACTGACCACATGGTACAGATCACGTGATAATTTTATTTCCGAAGAAACCGTCTGCATTACCGCTCTCCCTAATGGTAATAGTGATCCCACCTGCTGTTACATCAGTCACTACTACACCCTCTGATCTCTTGACGCGTTGGGGCATGGACGCATCAAAGGCTGTAGGGCTGGCAGGCAAGCTGATAGCTTCTTTGTTTACTGGCGGAAATCTTGGCCTCGTTTTCGTTTCCGGATCGTTTTTGTCGTCATGGCAATGTTCTCGTGATGACTGCCCCTGTGCATCAGGCGGTAGCGAGATCGCTAAACCTTTGGAATTTTTCGGGTAATATTTGATCTCGTCTGGGTCGGAAAAATGCGCCTCGTCCGTGTCCGAATCGTCTTTTTCTTGTGTCATATGCCGTCTTAACGTCTGTGGAGGGGTGATCCTCCTCAGCACGAGTTTTGGCGAGAGCTTGAGGCCTAAACCCTGCTGACTTGAGCTACCATTGAGCCGGAACTCAGGCACCTCGTCCACATGGAAACTCGTGAGATCTCTTTCGGTTACAGTGCAGCCGTCCTTATCCCCAGATTCGGACGCGTTGAGTGAAGCTTGGCTGCGGTCTGAATTCGGACTCCAGGTCCAATCTGACCGATCGTCCCTTGGGTTAATGGTTCCGGTATCCAGCCCACTACACGAGGTACTTGGGGCCGAGGCTGATCTTGAGTACGATGTACGGGACGCAAACCCAGCGGTCCCTGATGTTTCGTTACGTTGACGTCCTACCAAAAATTGTGACGATTCTCCAGTGGGTGAAGTATCGGCGGTCGCTGCCAAGTGTCTCGTGCACCATGTCCCGTTGTTTGGATCTTTCACTAATCGGAATCGGCTCGGGAATTCTGAATTTGGCCAGTCATAAGGTAGATCCGACAGAAACATAGAAGAAGGCTGAAAGAGAGAAACCCTTCAAATTAATTATATGATTGGCTGAATACACTGCATAAATATCCGTAAATAAAATCAGCAGTATCAGCAATTACAGGTTCTAAAGTGTTGTGGAAATGCTAACAACTGACTCTTTCAACAAAATTGATGCGAAAAATGAAACCTTCCTTCTTGCTGTGTCATTAAAACTAGCTTTTTTTCTTCAAGGTTAGGGGCTTTCTCTGCGGCAGTTACAAAGGATTAATTGTACTTGGATGCGGCTCGTATGCAATGGCAGGTCTTCCTGATATGTAACAATAACATATAGATGAAAGAAGGAGAAAACGAAGACGTAAGGAAATATAGAGAGAATAACATAAAGTCTTACGAACTTGGTGACTATGAGAATTGCATATTGAGGGTAATGTTGGGGTATTGGGAATATGGAGGCGATGATGGGATACGGTACTAAGGATGTGGTGTAAGTGGTGTTTGTAATGACCGATACATAATTAGGCTATTGGTAAGATGTGGTAGAGATGACTGTTATGATGGGTTAAGGGATGACTATTGGTGATGATTAAGTTGGCGACAACGAGGCATGGATCTGGTGGTATATAGAGCCTGAAAGTTGACCCCCGATGGCGTGCATTCGGAACCCTTGGATAAGAAAATAACGTGCCAACATTTTAGAATTTGTAATATGTTTCGTTCAGATACTTCTTAAACCTCTACTCGTAAAAAGACCTTTGTAAAATATTTGGTAGCATTTCAATTTATAGAAACTGAAAATTGACCTGACTTAAAAGAGAAACATACTGCCAAAATGACCTATCACTTCCGAAAATTAAGCACTGCAATTCAGTGGTCTCGCACACAAATGAACAATTAAGGAATTATATTTTATGAAAGGTTTTCGGTAAAAGCCAAAATAAAACAGACAAAAATATTTTAAGGACTTTATATTTTATAACAAAATAAACTTAAAGTAATAAGCTGCTTTAACGAAAGATTCTAATGTATAATCTCATCTTTGCTGTCAAGAATTGTGTCAGGTCAACTCGACTGAATCTAGAGTCCATCGACTGCAGGTAGGTAAATCTTTACAAGGTTGTAAAATCTCGTTTCCACGTAAAGTACTGGGATTGAAAACAACTGTGTATGAACAAGGAGGCCTAGGAACGATATCACTGAACGTGATAGGTCGTTACTAAAATTTTTAAAATTTTTCCCCCCGTCTCCCGGTGACTTTTCCTTAATACTACTTGACGAGGACAAAGAGAAAATTCTGATATGAGTGTTTCTTGGGGATGGTTTCAGTTAGGAATCATTTTTCCAAAAATTATCGAACGTGATAAGACGGCCCCCATGTAGCATCCCCACAGGCGGACGCGCGAGGGTTCCAAGAAGTTTACTGAGTGACCTTTTACTTTCAGGCTCTATTGATGGTGGGCATGCCATAGGCTAAAATTTTAGGGCCTTGTTCAATCTCCTTAACTTGCCACTATACAAAGACAAAGTAGAAACAGCAAAAATGGATTTACAACATTCACACGCGTGGAATTCACATTATGGCTTGTACCCACGCATGTTGAAATCGAAGAGTGAAACTACAACGCTCCTTCATATTTACACATTTGAGAATGATCTATATCCATCGTTAATATTAATTTACTCAGTTTTTTTATTTTTGTCTAAATCGATTCCACCCAGCAACGGTGGAAAATATTACGTGCTTCAATAGACCAGTGATTCAAATTCAAACAGCGCTTTTCAGCCCAGGAAAGTCCATGATGTGTTTCCCCAAACAGGTGTGATCTTCTAAGGGGTACAGATTAAAGTAATTTTTGAATAATTGAATAATCATATAACTGAATACACGTTTACCACACTAAATCTCTAATAGGTTAGAGTTAGTGTGTGGGGTTAAGTTGCTGTACTGGAGTTAGGCCTACTGTAGACATGCGCTGTATCGAATCACATTCTTAATAGTCAAAAAAAAATGTAAGGCGTACTTAAGTCAATTTTATTGAGAAAATATCAGAACTCAATCTTCACTCCATTCATCCCTTACTCTCGGTTACTTTGACATTGCTTTGCTACATAATATTTCCAGCATTCTTACGGGTAAATATTATTAATACGGGTTATTAATAAGAGTTGGCAATGTCCTTCCCCTTTAAAGCGCCACCGACGAGAGGCGTTTATAGTTGCCTTCACCTTATCATTAGCTCATCACAATTCAATCCTAATCCTTCAAGCCAACGCGTAACAAATCTTGCCTGCATAATATCCCCCAGCTTCTACATATTCCAAGCATTCACATTAGGTCGTTCTATCTCCATGATGGTCGAATGTTATCATGGAATTTGTTATTTACTCAGGGTAGTTTCATCTCTTCTTGACTTGTTTACAATCGGTTGCACATATACATGTAGTGAATAAATGTCAAGTATGGTACCCGTGCTTTGCACTGGTCATTAACAACTGCTTTTCACTTTGAAAATCAGCAAATAAGGGCATTAAAATGAATGGGCAATTTTCATCAGTTGTTAAACAATAATTACCAAAATGATGTGCAGTCTAAATAAGAGATTCTTTAGTTGTTGTCTATTTATTTATGTGTTTTGGTCTTTCTTGAGATGCGGTGCATCGGTTTGTGTGGGTGGCTTAAAGGGTTGCTGAAAGTTTCACGTATAGTTCTATCTTTTTAATTTCATTGTTAAAAATATCTCTTGTTGTGTGATTTTTTTATTAATAATATAGCCATTGTTTTTTAATTAAAGAATAAGTTTAGGTTTCGCGTGGGTAAATAAAGTCTACAGTAAAAGAAAATGGTGAAAAGACTGTATGGACCATAAAAATCATATGACAGTCGTCACTGGAATTGATGTAGAACGAAATGACAACAGAATAGTCGAGAATGATGGGCTTTAAGCTGTTCGACGAAATGTGCAACATGTTTGTACAAACATACGGACACGTCACTACACATTATATTATATTGCAGCCTTTACCTCAGGAAACAAATCTGGTTTAACAACCTGACAATTACAACATACAGAGGTCAAAGAGGCGCCAGTATCACGTGATTTGGATCAGTCCGAGAGCGAATGTACAGTATATACTAAATACGAACGCTCGTCATCTTTGATTCCGACATGTTTGCAATCAACTAAACCGTGGTTAATGGGAGCATTTCCTATCAGACCTTCTGCCTAGTATCAGGCTTAGGTCTATGTTTCATGTTCTATATTATAAATGTGCGTTTCATTTAATTAATTTATCCAGGTACCTTAAAAGAAGTCAGGGACTCATCAGATAAGGCAACAGACTGCTCAGCACTGATATTTTTAACCTCTTTACAACGTTACATTTGGATGTATGCATGAATCGTTTTGAAAATCTAGGAGAGAACAGACGACACTGCGTCATAAAGGTCAATTTAGAGATTTTCTAGCTTGATAACTTTTGGCAGTAAGTAATATTTGTGGTGCCAAGTTTAATGAAAAAGGCATTGGTATAGTACTCTGCTTGCCTGTGAAGCATATAAATCTTATTTTAATTTCCTCCTTTAATGCCATATCACATGGACAACTTAAGAGCATGAGAATACACCATCGTGTCGACCATAACATGCGTGTCTTGTATCCCTTCCAGTTTTCATCATCCCGCTTTGCGGAAAAGATCGATTTTTTATCCGATTTACTGCATGCAAATACTGAGTGCACCATACGGTTATTGGGCGCGCTTCATTCCTGTAGGCTTGCTTAGGAGCGCTTTTCGCCTCTCACCTGCGATATTTGTCTTCTGGGCCGTCTGCCGCGCCGTGATGTCACACTGGGGCGCCTGCAACGGACAAAAACAGCAAAACACTTTAATCATCATCAAACAATCCACCCCCCCCCACCAGCGTGAGCAGGGGATTCTCCGTGGAACACTACCGCTGAACAATGTCTCACCGATTAGGTTTACAGCCTACCCCCTTTCAAAATTCATTGAAACACTCCAAAGACATGTTATTAATGACAAAAATGGGAAACTTCTCTTGCTACCATGTTTGGCGATTTGAAATGCCAGCTATATTTCAGCTACTCCGCGCTTTAATGCTGGGATGCATTATTAATGCAGAGAACAAGGACAATGCAGCACACAATTCCATGCACACACAACAGACTCCGCACCTTTCATCCATTGTGATGTCAAAGTTTAATAAAACAAATCAGACCCCAAATGACTCCAAATTTCAGCAGACATGGCTCACAATTACACAGTTTTCGCGGAGGAAAGCAGATGAGATTTAGGGACCCGTATTTTATCTCATACGTTTCTCGTCTACACTACATTTTGATTATAAATAGGAAATACCTTCCAAGGGATTTTCAGCATTACCAGTTTTCCTTTAACTCAACTGCAGCGCAAACACGGAAACACTTCTGTCGGCATGATGGCCCTAACACCACATACGCCGTATTTCATCATTCATGACAGAAACAAAGGCTACGGTAAAGATGGGTTGTCTTCTTTCTTACTGGAGCTAAATTATTCACAAATTACCAAGAAGACAGAAAATGAGTAGTGTACAATTGGTTTACTGTATGAGGAGGCACGTGGTAGATGCTCAGATAGCGAAGTCAACATACACATGAAATTCGACACCGTGAGTGTTGTCGACATTATGGTTTTGAAAAAGATAGTCTTTGATGTCCACGGGCTAAAGAAATAATTATTCGGCGTAAAACCGGAAATGCCTTGTTCATTCCCTCAGTCTCTCTTTTTCAAAAGAATCATGGAGAAACGCAAAGAGTTTTGGGCGGGCTGAAGTGAACCAGCTGCCTGAATAAAGATTGATGACCTTATGTATGACATCATCGGTTGACATCCAATCACGGTGTACTATATATCGCGACTCATACATATCCATTGCCTTCTGAAAGTTGCCTGTGCGCAAGCATAACGAAGCTCTACGGAGGTTCCTCAACCTTTATCTCTATACTTCCTCGGCTTACAGACACGCATTGTATGCAGATTACCAATGTCTTTGTACGCTGTACATATTTGGCAGTCTTTTAAATTCTAAGGAGATTGTCAAGATTTCCCCAAACTATTGTCTACATTTGCAATTTCTAATATACGGAGGAGTCATCAAGTTAAATGCTAATGCGTATTCGCGTTTATAAAATGATGCTGTCGAGCGAGAAAAAAAAAAGATTACTTGGTGAAATACCTTGATTGAGAGCAATGACTTCGAGGTAAAATGCGGAAAGGTTTCCCAGTTCCATGTTGACCTCGAACTTTTAAAATCACTACCGACAGCTCTTGAAATTAATATGGGGAGAGGGATACCATAAATTTTTAACTTGGTCCGTCCAGAATTTTCCCTTAATCAAATCAGAAGCCTTCAGTATTGAAGAATGGAATGTGACCTGTGAGTTTAACAAACTTAATGCAATTGTAATTCTTTGTTTGTAGATGTAAGATTTAGAAGGAAATTGTAAAAATACCAAAATCCGTCGTAATCCTTGAAGAGGACACGGGCCCTAATGTCAGACAGCGACCACATACTTCTGCATGAAAGTTTCTATTTTTGTCTTTCGAAAAAAAATGAAAATTACCGAAAAACTCATGTTTAAAATAAAACGGCAAAATGAAACTGCTGTGGCATGAAATGTCCTTGCAGATTAATGTGAATAGCTGGGGCATTCCCCTCCTGTCAAAACAAACACCCCCCCCAAATGCGTTTCCTAAAATGCTTTTATTCATTGGCAAAATTAAATCGAAGCAAAAAAACATACACCAATGACGTCAAACGTAGCAAAGTAATCAAGCGCTGTGAAACAAAAATGCTACATAAAGATCTGAACAATGACCAATAAAGTTGAAAGGTTGATCACAGGGATGGTGTCTTGTTGACACGTTCTGGGAATACTCACTGGGTTAGAGAACGTGAATTTGTAATACTCAGTGTGTTACAAAGCATGAATTGGGAATACTCAGTGTGTTACAAAACATGAATTGGGAATACCCAGTGTGTTACAGAACATGAATTGGGAATACTCAGTGTGCTACAGAACTTTAATTGGGAATATTCAGTGTGTTACAGAACATTAATTGGACAGATCCTGCCGTGATTCTCGGAAAAAATGGTGTGAAGCGCGTATATAGATTAAGAAAAACACTCAATTAAGTACAGTTTGAAATAAAACTAAAATCAACAATGACGGGAATATGTTTTTAACAAACTACGGTTTTATTTGATTATTCAACCAGCAGGTGGGTTTCAGGTTCACCGATATTTCAATTTACCTTCACATGGTGGATTAAGGGTAAGTCACACCATAAATGGAAAATTGGTCTTTCCTACCTTCAACACGACGATAAAACAAGTAACAGCAACATTGTTTCTTTGGCCTAAGCATGAAGACATCACGCTTGATTTCAAACTGAGTGCGTTATTGCAAATGTACAACATATGAGATTTGTAATGATATTCACAGACAGTGGTGGTTGCTACTAATTTCATTGTTGCTGGATATTTTCAACTTGAAAAAGGAAAAGTTCATCCGCGCTTCTACGTCATTCGTTACTATGGAAATCACGAAAGCCATTCTGAACTTATTCCAAATAGAATAAATTCCATTTTTAGCTGTGCGTGCAGCGGTATCAGAATTCTGCACTGTGCTTTAAAAAATATCAAAATGCTATATTGAAACAATTGCTGAATGCTGAGCCAACAACAAACCATGCAGTCATGGGCGTTAATTCCCAAGGAGATGGGGGTATATATCCCTGCACTTTTTGATCAGAAGGGGACGGACTATTGAATCATCCCTCACTTTTTAGTGGGGAGAAAAAAATCAAGCAGATTGTGACGAACTTCTCGGACTTCACTTTACAATAACCATTATGTATTTAGGCCCTAGTTGCACTAAAAATGGGAGAAAAAAGTACACATGCCGTTCTGATGTAAGATTCTTAGGATCGCCCCCAGTGTCATATGCAGTCAGCCCCCCCCCCACTTTTCACATTTCCATGGCCAGGCAAGTCATCCCTTCAAAATTCCCCATCCCATATCCCCCGATTTCCTGCACAAATGTACGCCACCGCATGCAGTTCTATTATGTCTTGACGCACGTATTATCTAATGGAAGCCAAAACCGTCAACGTTAGGTCCCACCAAATATCTGCCGTTTGAAATGGTGCCAAACAAAACCAATAACGGGTGATAAATCGTGTTTAGGGCACAGCTACCACAAAAGAGCCAAGTGGAAGTACTAGTGTAATTTTAACACTGCCAAGTATTTCCACTTTATACCCTAAGGCTTGCCTTAGAGATCTGTAAGGATCCGATTAGATAGTTATGAAAATTGAGACATATTTACTGTATAACAATGCAGTACAGCTTTTTAAATTCAATCTAAAATGAGGGCGAAAATAATGCCAGCCTTGCGCTCTGACACCTGAACCATAATACCTGTAACAATGTTGTGTGATTCAATTCCACAGACCCTCTACCAACTCGAACATTAAAACAGGAAGATACGAGCAAGCGCAGTATCTTATATCGTATTAGACCTGTGAATTTCCTGACCAATTGCGTGAGCATATCTCTATTTACTTCCTGTTTATGTATTTTGTACTTCACACCTTGGTTTGAAATCGAGCCTTCAATGATAACGGTTTACCTTTTGTGTTGTTGTCACAATGATTCTAAAAAAAATTCATACAGATGAACCAGACTTGAGTCTAGAATTATTGAAAGTAAGAATCAAAACGAATGGTGGCACACATGATGGGAGTTATATTTACAATTTAAATCGCAAGGGAGAGTCTCACAGTTTTATGGATAAATAATTAAACTGCTTCCATATCGAGAAATACGGGAAAGGCATGCGCGCATACTCATGTGCTATAACGTAAAACGAATGTGAATTCGTTTCACACTGTCTTCATTATGATTGAACATCAGCCATATTCCCAGAAACGTCATGCAGAAAATACCACTATAATAACCGATTAAGAAGAAAACTGCCGAAATTGATATCTATATCTGGGACACGGACCAAATTTTTCATCGCAACTGTCCGATAATTTTAAGATTCTTTCCAGTGCCACTTTCCAGCACATTTCGCCTACACTCTACCAGCATCTCTGTGGTCTTTCGTTTTTTGTTTTTTTTTTATAATTTCATTCGCTTCAAAATCCTGAAACTGTTTGGAATCAGACAAATATGAAATATAATAATCATTTAAAGTGTGATTATGGTCACAAATGGTTACCTTGTAGAATATATTTCAAGTAACCTCTTGTCCAAGATGTTATCCTCCGGTTCCCATGTGTTGTGTCTGAGGGCAGAAAAAGTTTGAAGAAAGATGAACGGGTACATAATTATGAACAATATCGTTTAGAAGGGCAAAGGAATGAAGCGTGGCATGTAACTATATAACTGCCCGGCTGCATTCCAATGATTAAAGCAATCGAAATTATCGCAAAGTGTTCCTACGAAGCAAGGAAAAATGTGCCCTGAACAAGAAAATTCCCATGTTGAATTTTGCTGCGGTCATAATCAAGATGAGGATCCAATGGAAATGTGAAAAAGTTAGTAGATCTTAATCTGGACTCAACATACAATGTTGAGTTGGTTTCAAATGGTTAGCACCGCTAAACTACACATTTACTGATTTCAATGGTTCATGCTGTATGAAATAAAGAAGCCAGGTGCTTTTCAATAATGTGTAATAATAATATGATTATTTTGAAAATGTGATACAAATCTCGCTGAGAGCAGTCAAGACCAGAGCTGTATATACAGAGTAGCACCAACTTCAGACTTTGGAACCAAAATGGCTTGTTCATTATATGTTCAGTTCAGACTTTAACTATTTTGTGTAAACTGTCCGCGTGTACTGACGCATAATCCGCCATTTTGGTACCAACAACGAAGACACTCATACCGCAACTCTCTCTATAAACAGCTCTGATCTGATCAGGATGAAAGGACACAAAGAATGAAACTGAAAGACCCAAAGGCTTATTCGATCCTTGAATTTTATCCAAGAGTGTTCAAGCATAAATTAAATTAGTCCCATTGGCCAAGACATCCCCATCTCCAAACACTCTTTATTTGAATCAGTTCCATATTCGGCAAGATATTCGTTACTCACATCTGTGCACCGTACACAGTATACTCATGCCAATATCCGAAGACCTAAACTTTAACGTGTTAATAATTTCCAACGGAGTCAGAAACAGAATGGTTTGGGCATGCATACAAAGAATCAGTCGGGTATTATATTTTATCAGATGTTTCCCAGAAACTTACTTGTTCGACCATCCTTTCCATTTTACAAGATATTCCGCTTTTCCCTGAAAAGACATCCAAATCAAAACAGAAATAAAATAAAATAGCGGTGAACTACTCACAGACAAAAATTCACAAATAAAGGTTCAACATCTAATAAAGTAGTACTCATTTGTATCTTTTGCATGGATCTAGAAAATGTGTTTCAAAAATTAAAAAACACATGTTTCAAATGAACTACACCCGTTCTTGTCCAACAACCGAGTATTATCAGTTGATTGCCTCAATAAAGGTGACAAATGATTCAACACAGGTGGAATTAAATTAAATTTCTACTGCTACGGGCGACTATTTCCTATATACAGCTCAATCAAGCTGAAGACTCTCCTCGATAGAACCACTTAGGGTGTATGTAAAATCATATTGAAATTGTAGGATTTGGGACTGTTAAGGATTAATCTTTTCTTTTCCTCCATAAATGTTCTCTACAAATAAGTCAAATTTGGCAAATTTCACTGATATTGCCATTAAAATGAATCGTTTTCAAAAACAGATGTCATTCATTATTATCTTGTTAAACAGTCCATTTTTCGTTTATCTATGCTGAAATGCTTTATCTATGCCGCTATGTTTTTGTTGCGGTTAAGTAGTATTATACGCTGCGTAGTTGAATTAGCTACTGACGAATTTGTTATGTTGAGTTTATTTCTACCGCTTCACTGATTTTAACGTTTACACACTGAGATGTGCTTAAAGGGATATCGACGGATAACTCTGTGGTAAAATAAATTCAAGAGGATAAATATTTTCAACTTATTTCAACCACTGTATAATTCAGACAAATCGTTGAAATCAAGTCCGGTAAGCTCCTCTCTGCGTATGAATGTTTCTGTGTATAGTCATTTTTGCGGTGTTTCCATTTTGTAGCACAGAAGCTTTCATAACCATTTCAATCGGTGTTCAGTTATGAAATCAACTGAACCTCGACATTTAACAGAAGCTATAGCGTTCTTCAATGCTTTCCTCGATATAGATGTCAAAGATCCGTTAAGGTTGTTTCATCCCAAGTCCTTACTGACCAAGGCTGTCATGTTTAACTGTAAGGGTGGCCTTTTCTTGAACATTTCTGAAGCCATACTCCATTTGTGGTCAAAAGTGTTCCAATGTTGGGGTGTTACCGTTTTTACTAAAAGGCTCAAAAGCTTTACATGTTAACAGTAAAATGCACAATAAGCAGTTTACATTTTGAATTGCAATTCCTTGTAATTCTTTTAAACGTTATAACACAAATGACTCAAATGAAGCGTAGGTGTACAAAGCAGCTGTGACGTTGTTTTCGCACTTAAACATTTGACATGACTGGATATTTCCATCCCGAATGATCACAACTTTTGCTCACAAAGATACCAGTTTCACTCTCGTGTAAATAGTCGTTTTCCAATGTTGCCTGTTCCCTAACTACAATCCTACTGCCGATTAGATACTAATCGACATGTTCCATTATGTGTGTGTACACTTGACTGCAAATTTGTCATGCTTGTCATGTTTATATTCGGGATATTTTACCATCCCTTTCGTTTCGAAATATCCCATTATTATAGTTCTAAGTGTTGATAAACACTACAAAAATCTTCGCTATCCCTTTTTGCATTCTTTCTTACGTGGTGCTGTATAGCTAAGTTGAAAGTTGGATTTTCACGCAAAGTTGAATGGAATTACCATAATAAATGCTAATTAATTCAAATCAATTGCTTTCATGTACATAATACTTCCGGGACTTCCTGGTACCGGTTGTCAAAGTGTCACGTAATTATTTTCTTGTTATGAAACATATCAAGAAGATCCCTTGACTGAGGTTTTACATAATTCATACGGGGGGGGGGCTGAAATAACGTACAGCAAAAGAACCCAGAATCATCGTGGGCCATATCAAAGCCATCCAGGAAAATCCAAGGCCTCCAATCATGATTGATTGATTAATTGTTGTTTTGTATTTCTATAAAAATGGGCGTTGCTCTCTGGTTCTTAAGTGTGACGTTACTTCGTTTTAAACCACGCCCACTTCACATGCACTGCACATAGAGTTACATGCACTGATCGCCGTTTACATGGTACCATGGAACCGGAAATTAACGCGCAAATTCAGCGATTGTCCAATGGAAGCCTGCAAATAGTGGTGCAGCTGCCCCTGTGACGAAGTCATGAACTGGATAAACAGCGTTTCTGCCATGATTGACCGTGGGAGTAGTATATATTTGTTAGTAATAAATGTATTGCAAGAGATCGTCCAGTCATCAGGTTGTGTTTTATTTGACATAGCTTGTTTGACTTATTAGCCTGTTTGCGAAGATAACACAGTTTTTTTTTTCAATGTAAACAATGAATCTATCTCTATCTCTGTGTCACATCGTAAAAATGCAAGTTGCAATAACAAAACACGGATTGGTGGCCACATTAAAAGAAAAAAATGGAGGTTGTGCACAATTTCACGCGCTCGATTTTCCTGTCGACATACATTTTTGTCCCAGGGCTTGTGAAAAATTCATAGGCTCACTTGGGTCGGACTCGAACCCATGACCCTCTGCGTAGTGTGGACGTTCAACCACTTGACCACTGAGCTTATTGGTGTTTCCTGGCAGTTTGTGAGTCAACGAGAAGGGGCTGACTCGTTAAACATGTTATATGATGTGATTTTTTTCCATAGGGAAGAGGTGGAACTATAAATACATGGTAATTTATTATTTTAATTACAGCAATCACACTAACGTGGGGGGAAGAATGGTAAGTGCATTATAACTTCTTTGCTGCATTATAAATGCAAGCAAGAAACGGTTGGAAACATTGTCAAAATATCGACAACCGTCATTGTCATCTTTATTGAAGAGCCATGATGAATCAAGTTGGTTACATTAGCTCCACAGCCACCTAGGAGAGATTCAAAAGTATAATCAAACAATAGCCATGTTGGCACAGATCGAGTTAACTTTGGGCCATTTCTCAAACCTCCATGGTGTCCTTGACATGGCTTTAGGACCAAACCTTACAGCTTTAGGTCCCGTGTATGGACAAGAACCAGAAATCGTCCAATTTACGCCATCGTTTGGAATCTCTTCTTGTTAGGAATCATTAAAGAAACCCACACAGATGGTTAGTTGATTTTGTTGATTTTTTGTTTGTAAAAAAAAGAGAGGGTAAATGAGATGAGATTTGCATAGGATCCCAAATGAATACAGGACAGTGTACCTGCTATGAATGATTAACCAAATTATTTGTTCAGAGCGAAATAAAGGTACAATTTTGAAAAAAAAGAAAGGGCTGCAGAAATCACACGAGTAAGATCGAAGGAGTAAAGGAATGACAACACTTGAGATGAGGGCGCTCTTAGACAGTGCAGTATGAATAACCTATCACTGGACGGTGCTTCCTGAACTTTTCATTCTGAGCGACGTAGGATAGGTCATTGGAATGAATTAAAGCTTGGTTGAAAGTTTGTATGCGGAAACTATTTGGCTTTGCTGAAACAAAGTTCATCTGATTCTGTGGTCAAGTTATCTATTCCTGAATAAGGAATGCAATTTGAAAACTAAGTTATTTCTACTTCATTCAGTAGTCATAAACTACATCTTGATTTTTTTATGTCACGCCCATTTTTATATCGTACGTTTACTAGCACGTTACCTACACTAGAAAAGTATCTTCACAAAATTCTGTTACCAAGTCCAGAGAGTACTTTATCTAATAAATACCTTCCTTTTTCTCTTTCCTTTAAGTGCCTCCACGATGTATACATCATTCCGAACCTCGTCCCATCCCTCACGCACGCCTACAGGGCTTGCTGGGATGTCTCGGTTCATCGGATGTCTGTCTAACTGCACGGGATCCTCGGTGACCCCAGTCCTAGGGGAATACATCCCGTCACTCAGGGAACCCAACGGTTGCCGTCATTCCATACGGTTGGGATACTTCAGCAAGTTGTCAGTTGTCGTATTGCACCATGGCGGATCATGTCATCAAAGCAAGCTTCCTACATAGTATAATTATCACACATCACACTGTATTATTACACTGTACACCAAACAGCTACTGAACACACAGTTGCATTCTTTGGACCGACCTCCCGTACTGAATAATGGTACCGCTTCACTGACATGACGTTTATGATCAGCTAACGCATCAACGATTTCTGCACACAACGTTGTTTCACAGTGTATCACCGAGTTTGAGTACACGTCGTATGCTTTACACATGAAATATAGCAATTGCACTATCGACTCTGCCACTGTGCTGACGTCACCGATGGCCGGGTAAGATAGCGAATCTACTAATCGACTCCTAACAGATGTTAAATTCGATTCCCTTCTGGTGACGAGTTTGGACCCAGTGACTATCAAACTATGCCGCTATCCACAGTATCCAGCATATTCCTTGCTGCTCTAAGCCCAAAACGGGACACGAATAATTCCAACATAGCTTGTTCCTGTCCCCGAACTATTAGAACCGCAAAGACACACAGCAAGCAGGAAAACTCGCCTACTAATTCCATACCAAACACAGCGTAGTACCAACTGAAGTGCGCAATAATGCCAGGTAAGCCCACGCAAATGGACCATGCACACTCAGTAGTCTGGCATGAATTGTTCACCTGCAGCTGACACGCTTGACTTATCATACCCCCTCAATTTCTGGGCAATACAGGGGTTGTTTTTTGTATCTCTTTAAATATCCATGTGGGATTCCAACCGCCACTTCCTCGCAGTTGTGGAGATGATTAAATGATAAATGACCGAGCCAGGTTTTTCCTTTAGCTCTGATGTTAAATTTCACCGAAACACACTGAATAATGGACTTTTAAATTAAATAAAAACAGGACTGATCTCCATGGTAACAAACTCCGGTTACACGTCAAGGTCATTAATGTATCCTCTGTGTAGCAAAACTGCTCAAGGAATATCTTCTTTTTGGTCTTTAAGTTTAGTGATTATCAAACTAGTCTTAGGCCTAAGTGAAACTGCTTTGATGGTTGGGTATAATGCATGTACTTTTAAGTTCTGTTTTTTGCCATTTGTATGTGCAAGAAAGTCTGTGAGATGATGAGATGGTGAGATCTTGTACTTCCACGTGGCAATTCGTGATAGCGCCCTCTACAATCTTCCGATACACCAATAGAAATGAGGAATATAAAAGGAGGGTTCAAGCAATGCCATATGCTTACTACAACCTGTGAAAATTTACCTGGATGTTTCAGTTATTCTAATTATCAATTTTTGTTTTGCTTTTTCAAAAGATATTTTGGTGCCTTCGTAGTTTATTGCCAATACAGATTTCCAAATTCTTCAGCTAAATTGTGACGTTACAGGAATTTCCATGTTCAACTTGCAAAACTGTGGGAGGTTTTGAATTTTGCTGTTCTAAATTTCCTTTCCATTGGTGAGTCGTTATTTTGTGAGTAAACATAATAAGACAGTGAGCAAAACTTTCTAAAAAAGGTGTTTTCAATGAGATTCTGGATTCACAGTTTGAATAGAAGAACCTGTTTATTGAGCAGTGTCTCCCAATGACATCATAGCAACAGCGCCCCCTCTGTTGCCTCAAAAATTATGGACAGTTTTTGAACAATGCACTTTCTAATACACTTACCCCTAAAAGAATGGCTGCTGTTTCATACATGTAAAAAGTGTATAAAGTTGAACAAAAAGTGTCGAGGCTAACTTCATCAACCGCAAAAACCTCTTATGTTAGTACAAGATATAGTAATGTTAAAAACATTGAATATGTGATGTGTTGAAGTATTGCCTATAGCCACACGGTTCCCTGATATCAGTCATCATAGCCAGGAAGTGCGCGTATCGTTAGCAACGAACCGTACCTCGCGCTTTGTAAACTAGCGAGTGGGTTTCATTTTTTACATCACATCTAGAATTTTGTATCATATTGTCTAATAGTATAAACTACCTGCAATAAATGATAGATGCCTTCGAGCGTAAGTTGACGTAAGTTTGTATCTACGCAAGGTCACGCAAGTCAGTGAAAAAAAGCCTTGTAGACCGGCATACTTTATATGCCGTGTCTAAATTCTAAATTATAGTTTGCAACTTGGCTCATCTTGGCAATCGAGTTTACTTGTCTTCGTGTACCGAATTCACGTTTATTCCAGTCGACTGCAATCGTTACACAAACGCAATGTCGTTTGCTTAGTCATTTGCCTGCATGTTGTGATTAATGCACATGTAAGTACTGAAAATTAAAATGAAAAGAGGTTACAAAATAACTAGGGAGTAAAGCAACATGGAAACTAATCAGATTCCAAGATATCGAATCTTGATTTAATTCTGGCGTGATATGACTTAACTTATCAAGCAGACATCTGAATATCAAAATGTATCAATCTGCACCAATTCAAACTGGCAGCTGCAACTTGGGTAGTCACAAGCCGAGATTGTTGGTAAGCCTTATGTAATATATAGCAAACAAAGTAGTTACTCATGTATGCATGCTAACTGGAATGAACACAGCATAACTGCATGACAAAAAGGATGCCAACTGAATGTGTTCCCGTCAAATATCAAAGTTCAAATTGAACTTTTTTTCCTAGTAGCCAAGAGCATCCACGGTGATGTGAGTTTATTGTGCTTGCATGGGCGACTTTTAAAAGCTCGTTTTACCTTTTAATTTTAATATTGGCTGCAATCCCGTTCAAGCAGCCCTGTTTTCTGAAGTCTCGTCTGTGCCCGGCCCTCTATCGCTCATTCTTCTCAAGGATTTCTTCCCGTAAGCCGGCTTGTACAAACGCTTGGTCATTTTTCCAAGCTTTTTAACTTTTCGGGAGGAAATCCAGCCTATCAGAGCATCAAGGACAGATTGCTCACCTTAACAGACCCGAGGAAATTATAGTTTAACAACCTTTAGCTGATCTTGTTCCCCTGAAGGTCAAAATGAAATGACAAATGATATCATGACATAAAAAGTAATAAGAGGAAGTCAAATGAACAGCAGTAAATTACAATTTGAAAACTATGCAGTGTGTGTGATGCAATGGACTAAAAGTGTTGTGGAATACATGTCAATAGAATTTTAGACAATGCAGTGCACCGAACTGAACCAGACAAGCGAAACGAACTGAATCGAACTTAAAGCATGTGGTGAAAGTCGACAAAGCTGCATATTTCTCAAAATCGAAATGTACCACCTACCTGCAACCAATTCAATCTGTTTAATTGTAAATATTTCATTTTTCTCAATATTTCAATAAGGCTTTCAATTCATGAGCGTCCATGTTTGACTGTTGAAGTAGGTCTGTCCAACACTGGGCAATTTTGAGAGCGATTTAGATCTATAAGAATGTATTGTACGATGAGATACTTCAGGGTGTAAAATAACTTGGGCGTCTGAGGGTTTGGGAGAAGGAGACACCATTACTTTTGACGTAAGTCGGCGCGTCCCACGCCTTGGATGATGGTCCCGCTGCCTCCCATTAGGCCTATTCCTGCATCCGGAGTTATCTTAATGGTGTAGAGGCAAAGAAACTTTCATAGGAAAAGTGTTTCTGCGATTTTGTAATCATCTTCAATATCTGGAATTTCTTTTACATTTCCTTTGGTTAACTTTGTAAAATATTTTAAATTATCTATGCTTTCCAAGGCAACCGAGGGCGCTGTTGCTGTGATGTTGTCTGAAATTATTTCTGAGAAAGGGATTAACACTTACTTATTGCTATATGCACATAAACAACAAGGAATCAGCAAAGAAGAGAACATTCAGTACAACAAGTTCAACAAAAATGCAGGACTTTTTGTATACAAAGCAGTGTAACATTAATCCTGAAAGAGCTGGCTTAATGTTACCCATCTCACAGCCAGGATGCGGATTCCGTCCCCCAAGAACTCGGCTGTGACAGGCTCGATTTTTAAAAAAAACTTGGCATGCATATAAAGATGCTCCTTATTATTACAAACATGAAGGTTGAACTCAATCCAACATATGGTTTTGTTGTTAAAGTTATTTGAAGTTCAAGGCTACTTGCGTGCCACCCTGCGTGCATTGGGCACCACAGAGGAAAAGTATACATTTCTGGCTGCCCTGTCTCAATAAATGTGTGTTGTACAATAACGGTATGTCCGATTTTCGCCAAATTAGTGTCGACATGACTGCAAGAAGTTATTCTTCCAACTCCTAAGGCCAAAGTCCATAAAAATGCACTGCGATAATATATCGGGAAAAATGTCAGCGGGGGGCGGATTCCATTCCGGCTCCTTTAGGGTTAAGACAAAAATAAAATATATAATCAGTGCTCTGAATTATGTAATTGCCGAGCTTTCGGTAACTGGGTACCTTCGTCGGGGAAAGCAGGGTGAATTCAGCGCACTGATTACATATTATATTTTTGTCCATATTATGATCACGGTGCTACGCAGCCTTTCTATATTCCTTTAGAGTTAATGTTTTCTTCCTGGGATAACATCACACTTTTGCTCATAGATATGGAAAAACTCATTAGCATAAAGACCAAACAGACAGTACAATAACCTTTGAAATAGTGAAACGAAAGTTGGAAGAAGGTTAACTGAGACACAAGGGTGCATTCTGAAGGTTTTTATTTAACAAAATTGATTGCCGGTACCCTTTAATGACGTGTACTTTGAACTCATTCCAGATAATTTACCATGGGTAAGTTATGATATTCCCGGGATATCTCCTTTTGTTACAGACAAAAGTCATTTTACTTTTTAAGCCAAGTATTATAATGCTCAAACATTGATATCATATCGCCTCACCAATTTCGCATTTCCAGTTTTATACCTGTACGAGAATTCTTCAAATATGTTGAAATGTTCCAACGAGACTCGTGCTACTGAGTCAAATTTCTGATCATAATAAGCACTGCAAATACAGCACTTTTGTTGCTGTGGAGATGCAAGGTCATTTGGAAATGAAAGGAATCGAAACCAGAACGATAGCGCTAGTTACAGAATATACAATAGGTTCCATTTAAACCAGGATCGCTTTTTCATTTCCGTTGTGGTTTACTGCTTGTTCCCGAACTTTGGCCTCGTAAGTAAAACTATGTTTTATTCAATAAATCATTAATCATTGATATGCGCCACACAAATGACACACATGACATGTAGACATTGAAACTTAATCAATGGTCCAGTGTAACAGATATCTGAAATTAGAATTTATTTAAAAAAGGAGTTAAACAAAAAAAAATACGGAAGAAGCATTGTTATATCACAGAAGCAGCGTGAGGGAAAGCGTGTACATAATAAAGTTATGAAAACATAACTATAAAAAGTCGATTCCCTCCCGAAATAAAGTCCAAAAGTGACCCTTTATCTCCATGTATTCAGAGCTGTTTATAGAGAGAAATACGACATGAGTGTCTCACTTGTTGGAATCAAAATGACGGATTGTGCGACAGTGCACGTGGACAGTTAGCACACAATGGCTGCATGCTGTACTGCACACATATCGGATAGCCAAGTCTCAAGTTGGCACTACTCTCTCAACATCGGCCTACATCTTTGCAGTGCTGATGTACAGTGATGATACCTGGATCTCAACTGATCATGTTTGGCGAATGCTTACATATACTTCCAAAAGTTCTTCTGGAGCGGGACGTCACGACGTTTAGTTCGAATTTGGTGTTTTGGATAACATGCAATTCTTATA